CCTATTATGTGTCAAAAATTTAATTACAATCCAAATTCAGACCTGTATCAAGTATGAATATTGTGTCCATTTTGGCCCCAACTTTTCAGGGTTGGACATCTGCGGTCGTATACAGCTGCGCTCAGCGAAGCAATTTTTGTTGTGTAAAGTTGTATTTATGTTTTATTTCTTTGTTTTATGAATATATTAATTATCAGCCTAAACCCTTTCAATTTTAGAACAAATCTCTGAACTGTGTAGCATGTAAAATTATTCTAAAATATTTCTTTGTATTTCTCTTAAACACATCTTTTAATTTAATTTTACTTTATCCTTGATACTTCTAAATTTTTCAATTATGTACTATATGTTCAATTTACAATTTATGTTATAACAGTCTATTTGATCATTTATGAAGTTAAAATATATCTATGTATATTATATAATTGTTCTTTATTTGGACAGTAGTTTAACAAAATATCAGAATACAACATAAAATATGTAAATACTATCGTTACTCCATGTTTATTTCAAATTTTATAAGTTACATTGAAACCAGACCTAAATTAATTAGATCTCAAATTGTATCACCTGGTAAATCATACGCTGACAGTGTTAAATCAAAAGTAATTAATAATGACACCGATATAATTAGCGACAATGAAGCCTATGTGTCACAGGTAGATAATCCAGAAATAAACATAGATGTAATTATTGACAATGGACTGAGAATACACAAATAGAAGATCAAACACCCAGTATTCCTAATAAAGATAGAAAAAATATTTCAGATATACGCAAAGATATAATTAAACCCCCAAGCAAAGACGTAAATGATCTAAAAAACTGGGAAACACTAATTACAAGGATACGGAATATTGCGATCCAACAAGGTGATGCCTCTTTTACCATCATGCAGCTATTTATAAACTTTCTCAAAAATTAATTCAGTATTGACATACTGATCGACGTAAATAATTAAAGAAATGATAAACAATAAGCAATTAAAACAATTAATTAACTGTATTAGGGTTACACATTTTACAGTGGAATGCGTGCTCACTTTATGCGAACGCAATTCCCTTAAACATTATTTAGACACACATAATAACCCAGATATTATTTGTGTACAAGAAACTCGCTATAAAGACAATAGGTACGTAAAACTACAGGGCTACCATCCACCCATCATCCGAAATAGAAAAATACCGATTCAACGTAAAGGTAAAAATAAAAAGAGAACTCATATAGGAGGAGGAGTAGCCATTTATGTTTCGATTCAAGTTAATTTCTCACAACTAAATGATACTGATAACAAAGAGGTAGTAGGCGTATCTGTAAACTGTCAAAATAATAAGATAAATATAGTTAATTTGTATAGACCTCCCAATCAAGATATTAAATTTAATGACTATCAACAAGTACTGCATAATCTAACAGATAATATAGTGCTACTAGGAGATTTTAATAGTAGATCCTCGTTGTGGGGGTCTAACACAACAGACAGCAATGGTAACATTATAGAAAAGGTCATAGACCAAAATAACATGATAGTTTTAAACGACGGTTACCGGTACATTTCAAACCGTCGGAGATGACCGAACACATATAGATCTATCGTTGGTCTCCGCCTCACTAGCCAATGACAGCCAATGGTCAGTTTTAGACGATAAACTAGGTTCAGATCACTTACCAGTACTCACGGTATTAAATGCAAAACCGGTTAAAAATTAAGTTTGCACTCCACGAATATGGATTTATGATAAAGCCGATTGGCACAGGTTCACTTCTCTTTGTAACGAAATTAATATAGATTATATACACCATGACAATATTGAAATTTTCAACCAAAATCTATGCGAAGTTGTAACTAAAATCGCAGACGAAACAATCCCGAAAACTAGTGATACAATTCATGGAAGAAAAAACTGTCCCTGGTGGAACGATGATTGTACAAATGCAAAAAAAAATAAGCGTCATAAACACAGAGTGTATGATAAAACAAAATCAGAACAAAATCATGAATTATATAAAACAGCAGTTAAAGAGTTTAAACGTATCACTGATAAAGCAAAAACCGAGTACTGGCAACATTTCTTTGACAAACTTAATTATAAAACTAATGTAAAAACAGTCTGGAACACGGTTAAAGGTCTCAAGGGAGCAAAAACATCCACCCTACCGACACTTATTTCTGACTCCAAGCAAGCGGTATCTAATGTATATAAGGATAACATGCTAGCTGGAACTTTTGCTGAAGCTTCCAGTGATAACAATTTCGACCCCACGTTCAGAACACATAAATTAAAAACTGAAATAGAAAATCCAATTAATAGGGACGACAACGAACAACACAGCAGGTAAAAGTTTAATATACCATTCAACAAAAAGGAACTATATAAGGTGCTTAAGACCAAAAAGACAACAGCACCCGCTGATGACTGTTTTACATGCGAAATGTTCAAACATATGCCTGATAGTATGATTGATATTGTGTTGCAATTAATCAATAAAATGTGGGTAACTGGTCAACTACCACACAGCTGGAAACATGCAAATGTAATCCCTATACTAAAACCTAATAAAAATAAGTTTGACCCTAAATCATACAGACCTATTTCTCGTACATCAAATTTTTGCAAACTAATGGAAAGCATGGTCAATGTTAGGCTTAAATATCTATTAACGGAAAAAAATATTTTAAAAGAAACACAAAGTGGGTTTCGTGAAGGTTGCTCTACAATTGACCACTTATTGCGTCTTGAAAACGACATTAAAAACATCAAAGTACGTAAACAATTCCTACTAGCCATATTTCTCGATATTGAAAGGGGCCTCGGTGGCCGAGTGGTCTAAGTAGTTACTACTGTAATCACTAGCCAGTCAACACTGAGGTTGTGAGTTCGAACCCTGCTCGTGCAGGTGCACTCGACTCCAATCTTAATTGACTAGGATTGTCAGTTTTCCTATCGAAGGTCGGTGGTTTTCTCCGGGCACTCCGGCTTCCTTCACCAATAAAAACTTGCCGCCACGAAATAGCCCAAAAGCGGTGCTGAAAAGTGGCGTTAAAACACCAAAAATCAAATCAAATCAAATCAAATCAATATTGAAAAAGCATTTGATTTAGTATGGCGTTATGGTTTATTAAAAAAGTGTAAAGATTATGGTATAAATGGTAGGTTATTTAACTTCATAAAAGACTTCTTGCAAGATAGAAAAATACAAGTAAAGGTAAATCAAGATGCCTCAGACGAATATGATCTCATCCATGGTATTCCGCAAGGTATTGTCATCAGCCCCACATTATTTGATATCATGATAATTGATTTAGTAGGTCTGGCTAAAAAACCTGCAGTAATGTCACAATTTGCCGATGACAGTGCCATGTGGTATAGAGGTGGAAATATTAAATATCTTACTAATAAAATGCAAGAAACACTTAATAACATTAGTGCATGGTCTAAAAAGTGGGGTTTTAAAATTTCTAAAACAAAAACAGTAGGAATAATATTTGGGGATCGTAAAATTTATTCAGTTAACCTAATGCTAGATAACCAACCAATCAAATTTCAGAAACATGTCAAATTCCTTGGTCTCATATTTGATAGACAGTTAACTTGGAATAAACACGTAAGATATTTACAAGAAAGATCCAAAGCTATAATAAACTTACTCAGGTATGTTCAAGCAAACAATTTTGGCATGGGTACTGATTCACTACTTATAATAATAATAATAATAATAATAAATTCTTTATTTAAAGAGGGTAAACACAGTTAGTTACAATTACTAATCTTCCCTGAGGCCCTCATATACAATACATGTAAAAAATAATAATAAGAGAAAAAAAGCAAACATACAACATATTAACACAATCGTATAGTCATGATAGTTCAATGTACATGTACCATAATTAGAACATATAAAACAGTTACAGATTGCATGTAGTGAATAGATATTATATACAAATCAAAATCATACATTCTAAAAAAAAAAGTAATAGTTGCAATCATTTCAAGACTGAATATTGGGACTGTCTCAAGTATTGTGTATACTTATGCTATATAAATCACTACTTAGATCGATACTGGACTATGGCTGCCAAGCATTTAATTCTGCTTCATTATCTGTAAAATCTAAACTAGATACAATACAAGCTAAAGGTCTTCGCATTGTACTAGGGGCTCATAAATCGACCCCGCTAGAAACAATACTAGCTGAGTCAGGCGAAATGCCATTACAATTAAGAAGAGACCACCTTTCACTTAAGGTGGTACCTAACATTACAGGGAGATAACTCTGTAAAAATCAGCTAAACATTTTAATTACGTTGTATTGTTAAGGAAATATTGAGCTTCTCTATGATCAAAATTAGTGTTTGTCAAACTGCTATATAACCAATGAAATTTTTCTGATAAAGTGGTTGGTTCAAATTTTTTGAAATTTTTATATTTTTGTCAAAGGGTCAAAGTAAACATTTTGTCAAAATTTTATGAAAATTAAACGAGCCAAATTAATATTAGTCAAGGTGTTGGGTACCACCTTAAATGTACTTGCTTGTACTAAACAAAATCCAACAAATCCAGCAAATCAATTAGTAGATGATTGTATTAGATAGCAAATTTTTAATCATAAATGGAATGAACATAATATACCGTACGGTTTTAGAATTGGTTTAAGAGCTAATTTAGGTAAAGGGTTCAATAGGTACTTTTGTTTCGGCAACTGTCAAAATTGTTCATTAAATAAAATTGAAGTAGGCGTGTTATATTGGTTCATCCATAGCTCTAGTTGCTTGGTGTCAATATAGCATATAAAATGCGACGATACATATTTCATCGTAAGCCCCCGCGGTGAAGTGTGTATCATATAGGTAAGTTAAAGGACATATGTTTCTTTTTAGGTACAAGTAGGTAGGACTTTTTTTTTTCATATTTAATATTAAAGTAATAAAAATCTAAAATACTAGAATGTGCTAACTGAACAAAGAACTAAAAATCGCTCACATCATTGGCTTTTTCTTTTTATACGACCGCAAAAAAATTTTTGTGGTCGTATATTGGTATGACGTTGGCGTCGTCGTCGTCCGAAGACGCATTAGTTTTCGCACTCTAACTTTAGTTTAAGTGAATGGATCTCTATGAAATTTTACCATAAGGTTCAATACCACAAAAGGAAGGTGGGGATTGATTTTGGGGGTTATGGTACCAACAGTTAAGGAATTAGGGGCCAAAAAGGGGCCAAAAATAAGCATTTTCTAGTTTCCAGACAATAACTGTGGAACGGTGTATGGATCTCTCTGAAATTATACTACAAGTTTCCATACCACAAAGGGATGGTTAGGATTTGCTTTGGGGGGTTATTGCTCAAACCGTTTAAGAATTAGGGGCAAAAAAGGGTGAAAAACAAGGTTGTCCTCATTAATGGACAAATACTATAGTACAAAACATAATTTAAAGCAGTGTAAGGGAGATAAATCAAATACATCATTGAAATTATCTCCCTTACACTGCTTTTAAATTATGTATAAAGTAATGGTTAATGAACAATTAAGATAATTTCAAACAGTGTAAGGGAGTTAATCAAAATACAACGTTTTGGTTACTTCCCTTACACTGCTTTTAAATTATGTTTAAAGAAATGCATATTTATAAAGGAAGACCAGTATGGCGCATTAGATTTGTAAAATCTTTGACCACATTTATTTATTTGTTATGCCGAATCTAACCGTGTATTTAGATTTTTAATTTTGGGTCCAGTTTTCAAATTGGTCTTTATTAAGGTCCAAAGGGTCCAAAATTAAACTTTGTTTGATTTTAACAAAAATTGAATATATGGGGTTCTTTGATATGCTGAATCTAAACATGTATTTAGATTTTTGATTTTTGGCCCAGTTTTCAAGTTGGTCCAACTTGGGGTCCAAAATTAAACTTTGTTTGATTTCAACAAAAATTGAATATATGGGGTTCTTTGGTATGCTGAATCTAACCATGTATTTAGATTTTTTATTTGTGGACCCCGTTATCAAATTGGTTCATATTGAGGTCAAAAGGGTCCAAAATTAAACTTTGTTTGATTTCATCAAAAATTGAATTATTGGGGTTCTTTGATATGCCAAATCTAACCGTGTATTTAGATTTTTAATTTTGGGTCCCGTTTTTTAAATTGGTCTACATTAAGGTCAAAAGGGTCCAAAATTAAACTTAGTTTGATTTTAACAAAAATTGAATTCTTGGGGTTCTTTGATATGCTGAATCTAAACATGTGTTTAGATTTTTGATTATGGGCCCAGTTTTCAAGTTGGTCCAAGTGGGGTCCAAAATTAAACTTTGTTTGATTTCAACAAAAATTGAATATATGGGGTTCTTTGATATGCTGAATCTAAACATGTATTTAGATTTTAGATTTTTGGCCCAGTTTTCAAGTTGGTCCAAATTGGGGTCCAAAATTAAATTTTGTTTGATTTCAACAAAAATTGAATATATGGGGTTCTTTGATATGCTGAATCTTACCATGTATTTAGATTTTTTATTTGTGGGCCCGCTATCAAATTGGTTCATATTGAGGTCAAAAGGGTCCAAAATTAAAGTTTGTTTGATTTTAACAAAAATTGAATATATGGGGTTCTTTGATATGCTGAATCTAAACATGTATTTAGATTTTTGATTTTTGGCCCAGTTTTCAAGTTGGTCCAAATTGGGGTCCAAAATTAAACTTTGTTTGATTTCAACAAAAATTGAATATATGGGGATCTTTGGTATGCTGAATTTAACCATGTATTTAGATTTTTTATTTGTGGACCCCGCTATCAAATTGGTTCATATTGAGGTCAAAAGGGTCCAAAATTAAACTTTGTTTGATTTCATCAAAAATTGAATTATTGGGGTTCTTTGATATGCCAAATCTAACCGTGTATTTAGATTTTTAATTTTGGGTCCCGTTTTTTTAATTGGTCTACATTAAGGTCCAAAGGGTCCAAAATTAAACTTAGTTTGATTTTAACAAAAATTGAATTCTTGGGGTTCTTTGATATGCTGAATCTAAACATGTGTTTAGATTTTTGATTATGGGCCCAGTTTTCAAGTTGGTCCAAGTGGGGTCCAAAATAAAACTTTGTTTGATTTCAACAAAAATTGAATGTATGGGGTTCTTTGATATGCTGAATCTAAACATGTATTTAGATTTTAGATTTTTGGCCCAGTTTTCAAGTTGGTCCAAAGTGGGGTCCAAAATTAAATTTTGTTTGATTTCAACAAAAATCGAATATATGGGGTTCTTTGATATGCTGAATCTTACCATGTATTTAGATTTTTTATTTGTGGACCCCGTTATCAAATTGGTTCATATTGAGGTCAAAAGGGTCCAAAATTAAACTTTGTTTGATTTCATCAAAAATTGAATTATTGGGGTTCTTTGATATGCCAAATCTAACCGTGTATTTAGATTTTTAATTTTGGGTCCCGTTTTTTAAATTGGTCTACATTAAGGTCAAAAGGGTCCAAAATTAAACTTAGTTTGATTTTAACAAAAATTGAATTCTTGGGGTTCTTTGATATGCTGAATCTAAACATGTGTTTAGATTTTTGATTATGGGCCCAGTTTTCAAGTTGGTCCAAGTGGGGTCCAAAATTAAACTTTGTTTGATTTCAACAAAAATTGAATATATGGGGTTCTTTGATATGCTGAATCTAAACATGTATTTAGATTTTAGATTTTTGGCCCAGTTTTCAAGTTGGTCCAAATTGGGGTCCAAAATTAAATTTTGTTTGATTTCAACAAAAATTGAATATATGGGGTTCTTTGATATGCTGAATCTTACCATGTATTTAGATTTTTTATTTGTGGGCCCGCTATCAAATTGGTTCATATTGAGGTCAAAAGGGTCCAAAATTAAAGTTTGTTTGATTTTAACAAAAATTGAATATATGGGGTTCTTTGATATGCTGAATCTAAACATGTATTTAGATTTTTGATTTTTGGCCCAGTTTTCAAGTTGGTCCAAATTGGGGTCCAAAATTAAACTTTGTTTGATTTCAACAAAAATTGAATATATGGGGATCTTTGGTATGCTGAATCTAACCATGTATTTAGATTTTTTATTTGTGGACCCCGCTATCAAATTGGTTCATATTGAGGTCAAAAGGGTCCAAAATTAAACTTTGTTTGATTTCATCAAAAATTGAATTATTGGGGTTCTTTGATATGCCAAATCTAACCGTGCATTTATATTTTTAATTTTGGGTCCCGTTTTTTTAATTGGTCTACATTAAGGTCCAAAGGGTCCAAAATTAAACTTAGTTTGATTTTAACAAAAATTGAATTCTTGGGGTTCTTTGATATGCTGAATCTAAACATGTGTTTAGATTTTTGATTATGGGCCCAGTTTTCAAGTTGGTCCAAGTGGGGTCCAAAATTAAACTTTGTTTGATTTCAACAAAAATTGAATATATGGGGTTCTTTGATATGCTGAATCTAAACATGTATTTAGATTTTAGATTTTTGGCCCAGTTTTCAAGTTGGTCCAAAGTGGGGTCCAAAATTAAATTTTGTTTGATTTCAACAAAAATCGAATATATGGGGTTCTTTGATATGCTGAATCTTACCATGTATTTAGATTTTTTATTTGTGGGCCCGCTATCAAATTGGTTCATATTGAGGTCAAAAGGGTCCAAAATTAAACTTTGGTTGATTTTAACAAAAATTGAATATATGGGGTTCTTTGATATGCTGAATCTAAACATGTATTTAGATTTTTGATTTTTGGCCCAGTTTTCAAGTTGGTCCAAATTGGGGTCCAAAATTAAACTTTGTTTGATTTCAACAAAAATTGAATATATGGGGATCTTTGGTATGCTGAATCTAACCATGTATTTAGATTTTTTATTTGTGGACCCCGCTATCGAATTGGTTCATATTGAGGTCAAAAGGGTCCAAAATTAAACTTTGTTTGATTTCATCAAAAATTGAATTATTGGGGTTCTTTGATATGCCAAATCTAACCGTGTATTTAGATTTTTAATTTTGGGTCCCGTTTTTTAAATTGGTTTACATTAAGGTCCAAAGGGTCCAAAATTAAACTTAGTTTGATTTTAACAAAAATTGAATTCTTGGGGTTCTTTGATATGCTGAATCTAAACATGTGTTTAGATTTTTGATTATGGGCCCAGTTTTCAAGTTGGTCCAAGTGGGGTCCAAAATTAAACTTTGTTTGATTTCAACAAAAATTGAATATATGGGGTTCTTTGATATGCTGAATCTAAACATGTATTTAGATTTTAGATTTTTGGCCCAGTTTTCAAGTTGGTCCAAATTGGGGTCCAAAATTAAATTTTGTTTGATTTCAACAAAAATTGAATATATGGGGTTCTTTGATATGCTGAATCTTACCATGTATTTAGATTTTTTATTTGTGGGCCCGCTATCAAATTGGTTCATATTGAGGTCAAAAGGGTCCAAAATTAAACTTTGTTTGATTTCATCAAAAATTTAATTATTGGGGTTCTTTGATATGCTGAATCTAACCGTGTATTTAGATTTTTAATTTTGGGTGCCGTTTTTTAAATTGGTCTACATTAAGGTCCAAAGGGTCCAAAATTAAACTTAGTTTGATTTTAGCAAAAACTGAATTTTTGGGGTTCTTTGATATGCTGAATCTAAACATGTGTTTAGATTTTTGATTATGGGACCAGTTTTCAAGTTGGTCCAAGTTGGGGTCCAAAATTAAACTTTGTTTGATTTCAACAAAAATTGAATATATGGGGTTCTTTGATATGCTTAATCTAAACATGTATTTAGATTTTAGATTTTTGGCCCAGTTTTCAAGTTGGTCCAAATTGGGGTCCAAAATTAAACTTTGTTTGATTTCAACAAAAATTGAATATATGGGGTTCTTTGATATGCTGAATCTTACCATGTATTTAGATTTTTTATTTGTGGGCCCGCTATCAAATTGGTTCATATTGAGGTCAAAAGGGTCCAAAATTAAACTTTGTTTGATTTCATCAAAAATTGAATTATTGGGGTTCTTTGATATGCCAAATCTAACCGTGTTTTTATACGACCGCAAAAAAATTTTGTCGTCGTCCGGCGTCGTCGTCCGAATACATATTGGTTTTCGCACTCTAACTTTAGTTTAAGTGAATGGATCTTTTTGAAATTTGACCATTAGGTTAAATACCACAAAAGGAAGGTGGGGATTGATTTTGGGGGTTATGGTACCAACAGTTAAGGAATTAGGGGCCAAAAAGGGGCCAAAAATGAGCATTTTCTAGTTTCCAGACAATAACTGTGGAACGGTGTATGGATCTCTCTGAAATTATACTACAAGTTTCCATACCACAAAGGGATGGTTAGGATTTGCTTTGGGGGGTTATGGCTCAAACCGTTTAGGAATTAGGGGCAAAAAAGGGGGAAAAACAAGGTTGTCCTGGTTAATGGACAAATACTTTAGTACAAAACATAATTTAAAGCAGTGTAAGGGAGATAAATCAAATACATCATTGAAATTATCTCCCTTACACTGCTTTTAAATTATGTATAAAGTAATGGTTAATGAACAATAAAGATAATCTAAAACAGTGTAAGGGAGGTAATCCAAATACAACGTTTTGGTTACTTCCCTTACACTGCTTTTAAATTATGTTTAAAGAAATGCATATTTATAAAGGAAGACCAGTAAAAATATCTGCAAATGTTTTCATCTTTTTTTTTTACAAAAAAATCCATATGAAAGATTTGACACTTTATTTTTATTAATTCTATTATAAAATAGATTAAGTTAGCACTATGGTAAATTTAAATGGGTAATTATGGTTGCCAACTCCATTGGAAATTTGAATTGAGATTATGACCATATCTTGAGGGAAAGAATTTTTTTGGGGGAAAAAGGGGGGGGGATAAAAAGAAATTGTGGGGGGCCAATTTTTTCTCATTTCAGATTTCAGAAATTAAAAAGAATTATTCTTCAAATATTTTTTTTTTTTCAAATTTCAAATATTGAAAAATTTCAAGAAGTAATCTTTAATTGCACAGTATGGCGCATTAGATTTGTAAAATCTTTGATCACATTTATTTATTTGTTATGCCGAATCTAACAGTGTATTTAGATTTTTAATTTTGGGTCCAGTTTTCAAATTGGTCTACATTAATGTCCAAAGGGTCCAAAATTAAACTTTGTTTGATTTTAGCAAAAATTGAATATATGAGGTTCTTTGATATGCTGAATCTAAACATGTATTTAGATTTTTGATTTTTGGCCCAGTTTTCAAGTTGGTCCAAATTGGGGTCCAAAATTAAACTTTGTTTGATTTCAACAAAAATTGAATATATGGGGTTCTTTGATATGCTGAATCTAACCATGTATTTAGATTTTTTATTTGTGGACCCCGTTATCTAATTGGTTCATATTGAGGTCAAAAGGGTCCAAAATTAAACTTTGTTTGATTTCATCTAAAATTGAATTATTGGGGTTCTTTGATATTCCAAATCTAACCGTGTATTTAGGTTTTTAATTTTGGGTCCTGTTTTTTAAATTGGTCTACATTGAGGTCCAAAGGGTCCAAAATTAAACTTAGTTTGATTTTAACAAAAATTGAATTCTTGGGGTTCTTTGATTTGCTGAATCTAAACATGTGTTTAGATTTTTGATTATGGGCCCAGTTTTCAAGTTGGTCCAAGATAGGGTCCAGTATTTAAACTTTGTTTGATTTCAACAAAAATTGAATATATGGGGTTCTTTGATATGCTGAATCTAAACATGTATGTAGATTTTTGATTATGGGCCCAGTTTTCAAGTTGGTCCAAATTGGGGTCCAAAATTAAACTTTGTTTGATTTCAACAAAAATTGAATATATGAGGTTCTTTTATATGCTGAATCTAACCATGTATTTAGATTTTTTATTTGTAGGCCCCGCTATCAAATTGGTTCATATTGAGGTCAAAAGGGTCCAAAATTAAACTTTGTTTGATTTCATCGAAAATTGAATTATTGGGGTTCTTTGATATGCCAAATCTAACCATGTTTTTAGATTTTTAATTTGGGTCCCGTTTTTTAAATTGGTCGTCATTGAGGTCCAAAGGGTCCAAAATTAAACTTAGTTTGATTTTATCAAAAATTGAATTCTTGGGGTTCTTTGATATGCTGAATCTAAACATGTGTTTAGATTTTTGATTATGGGCCCAGTTTTCAAGTTGGTCCAAGTTGGAGTCCAAAATTAAACTTTTTTTGATTTCAACAAAAATTGAATATATGGGGTTCTTTGATATGCTGAATCTAACCATGAATTTAGATTTTTTATTTGTGGGCCCCGCTATCAAATTGGTTCATATTGAGGTCAAAAGGGTCCAAAATTAAACTTTGTTTGATTTCATCAAAAATTGAATTATTGGGGTTCTTTGATATTCCAAATCTAACCGTGTATTTAGATTTTTAATTTTAAGTCCCGTTTTTTAAATTGGTCTACATTAAGGTCCAAAGGGTCCAAAATTAAACTTAGTTTGATTTTAGCAAAAATTGAATTCTTGGGGTTCTTTGATATGCTGAATCTAAACATGTGTTTAGATTTTTGATTATGGGCCCAGTTTTCAAGTTTGTCCAAGTTGGGGTCCAAAATTAAACTTTGTTTGATTTTAACAAAAATTGAATATATGGGGTTCTTTGATATGCTGAATCTAACCATGTATTTTGATTTTGGACATTGGACCATAATAGGTAAATTAAAAAAATTCAAGTTCTTAGACCACATTCTTTCTGTGTCAGAAACCTATGCTGTGTCAAATATTTAATAACAATCCAAATTCAGAGCTGTATCAAGCTTGAATGTTGTGTCCATACTTGCCCCAACTGTTCAGGGTTCGACCTCTGCGGTCGTATCAAGCTGCGCCCCAGCGAAGCATTTTATTAGATTTTTAATTTTGGGTCCCGTTTTTTTAAATTGGTCTACATTAAGGTCCAAAGGGTCCAAAATTAAACTTAGTTTGATTTTAACAAAAATTGAATTCTTGGGGTTCTTTGATATGCTGAATCTAAACATGTGTTTAGATTTTTGATTATGGGACCAGTTTTCAAGTTTGTCCAAGTTGGGGTCCAAAATTAAACTTTGTTTGATTGCAACAAAAATTGAATATATGGGGTTCCTTGATATGCTGAATCTAACCATGTATTTTGATTTTGGACATTTGACCATAATAGGTAAATTAAAAAAATTGAAGTTCTTAGACCACATTCTTTCTGTGTCAGAAACCTATGCTGTGTCAAATATTTAATCACAATCCAAATTCAGAGCTGTATCAAGCTTGAATGTTGTGTCCATACTTGCCCCAACTGTTCAGGGTTCGACCTCTGCGGTCGTATCAAGCTGCGCCCAGCGAAGCATTTTATTCCAAATTAGCAGCTCCCAAAACTATTTAAATTATTTTTGTGTTTAACTTTTTGGACTTTCTTTTTTAATTATTTATTCCACCATTCATTTATTTAAGCCGCAAGTCAAATCAAAAACTTGAAAAATGGTACTTCGCAAGATCTGGTTTGCTCTAACCCAGTTTTAATTAGCGTGGGGCGTTTGTCTTCATGCAGACAGCGTTCCAGTGTACTAGCACTGTAAAGTCCTCATGATCAATATAAGTAGGCTAGCACAAAGCAGTCAAAATTATACATACACCCTTTGGTTTTTGTCAAGCCTGCGACTTTTGTCGCAGAAAGCTCGACATAGGGATAGTGATCCGGCGGCAGCAGCGTTATTAAACTTCTTAAAAGCTTTATATTTTAGAAGGTGGAAGACCGGGATGCCTCATACTTTGTATATGGATGCCTCATCGTACGAAGATTCTGTCAGTCACATGTCCAATGTCCTTGACCTCATTTTCATGGTTCAGTGACTACTTGAAAAAAAAGTTAAGGTTTTTTGTAATGTTAAATTCTCTCTTATTATAAGTAGTAGGATAACTATATTTGGTATATGCGTACCTTGCAAGGTCCTTATGCCTGTCAGACAGTTTTCACTTGACCTCGACCTCATTTCATGGATCAGTGAACAAGGTTAAGTTTTCGTGGTCAAGTCCATATCTCAAATACTATAAGCAATAGGTCTAGTATATTCGGTGTATGGAAGGACTGTAAGGTGTACATGTCCAACTGGCAGGTGTCATCTGACCTTGACCTCATTTTCATGGTTCAGTGGTTATAGTTAAGTTTTTGTGTTTTGGTCTGTTTTTCTTATACTGTATGCAATAGGTCTACTATATTTGGTGTATGGAATGATTGTAAGGTGTTCATGTCTAGCTGGCAGGTGTCATCTGACCTTGACCTCATTTTCATGGTTCAGTGGTCAAAGTTAAGTTTTTGAGTTTTGGTCTTTTTTTCTAAGACTATATGCAATAGGTCAAATATTTTTGGTGTATGGAAATATTTTATGATCTATATGCAGTCGCGCAGGTTTCTTTTGACCTTGACCTCATTTTCACGGTTCATTGATCAGTGTTAAGTTCTTGTGTTTTGGTCTGTTTTTCTTATACTGTATGCAATAGGTCTACTATATTTGGTGTATGGAATGATTGTAAGGTGTACATGTCTAGTTGGCAGGTGTCATCTGACCTTGACCTCATTTTCATGGTTTGGTGGTTTTACTTAAGTTTTGTGTTTTAGTCTGTTTTTCTCATACTGTTTGCAATAGGTCTACTATATTTGGTGTATGGGATGATTGTAAGGTGTACACGTCTAGCTGGCAGGTGTCATCTGACCGTGACCTGATTTTCACAGTTCATTGCTCAGTGTAAATTTTTTTCGATATATACAAAATATTTTGCAATTAAATTCAAATACACAATTTGGCATATCAAATTTATCTGCTGTTTACTTGGCTGCTGGTGTACTAGGACAACGTTGCTGCTGCTCACTGCCGTTTGCTGTGCCTAGCTTTCCTCCTATTCCTACTTGTGGTTGCTCCTTTTTTTTTTTTATATTTATTTACTTTTTTATTAGCTCACCTGACCTGAAAGGTCAAGTGAGCTTTTCTCATCACTTTGCGTCCGTCGTCCTTCGTCCGTAAACTTTTACAAAAATCTTCTCCTCTGAAACTACTGGGCCAAATTTGACCAAACTTGGCCACAATCATCATTGGGGTATCTAGTTTAAAAAATGTGTCCGGTGACATGGCCAACCAACCAAGATGGCCGCCATGGCTAAAAATAGAACATAGGGGTAAAATGTAGAATTTGGCTTATATCTCTGAAACCAAAGCATTTAGAGCAAATCTGACATGGGGTAAAATTGTTTATTAGGTCAAGATCTATCTGCCCTGAAATTTTCAGATGAATCGGACAACCCGTTGTTGGGTTGCTGCCCCTGAATTGGTAATTTTAAGGAAATTTTGCCGTTTTTGGTTATTATCTTGAACATTATTATAGATAGAGATAAACTGTAAACAGCAATAATGTTCAGCAAAGTAAGATCTACAAATAAGTCAACTTGACCAAAATGGTCAGTTGACCCCTTAAGGAGTTATTGCCCTTTATAGTCAGTTTTTAACCATTTTTCGTAAATTTTTGTAATCCTTTACAAAAATCTTCTCCTCTGAAACTACTAAGACAAATTTAACCAAACTTGTCCCCAATCGTCATTAGGGTATCTAGTTTAAAAAATGTGTCCGATGACCCCGCCCGCGAACCAAGATGGCCAACATGGCTAAAAAATAATACATAGGGTAAAATGCAGTTTTTGGCTCATATCTCTGAAACCAAAGCATTTAGAGCAAATCTGATGATGATAAAATTGTTCATTAGGTCAAGATCTATTTGCCCTGAAATTTTCAGACCAATCAGGCAACACGTTGTTGGGTTGCTGCCCCTGAATTGGTAATTTTAAGAAAATTTTGCCGTTTTTGGTTATTATCTTGAATATTATTATAGATAGAGATAAACTGTAAACAGCAATAATGTACAGCAAAGTTAGATCTACAAATAAGTCAACATGACCAAAATTGTCAATTGACCCCTTAAGGAGTAATTGCCCTTTATAGTCAATTTTTTACAATTTTCATAAATTTTGTAAATTTTTGTAAAATATTTCCTACCGGGCCAAGTTCATTATAGATAGAGATAATAGTAAGGAGAAAGAATGTTCAGTAAAGTAAGATCTACAAACACATCACCATCACCAAAACACAATTTTGTCATGAATCCATCTGTGTCCTTTGTTTAATATGCACTTAGACCAAGGTGAGCGACACAGGCTCTTTAGAGCCTCTAGTTATTATTTTCTTTGGTTTTCTATAAAAATTCTCACTTTTATATTCTTTTATTTTTATTTAGGTTCAATTTTATTATCATAATTTTTTTTTATTTATCAATTTATTTATTTATTAATTATTCTTATTTTTAGCTCACCTGACCTGAAAGGTCAAGTGAGCTTTTCTCATCACTTGGCGTCCGTCGTCCGTCGTCCTGCGTCCGTCGTCCGTAAACTTTTACAAAAATCTTCTCCTCTGAAACTACTGGGCCAAATTTGACCAAACTTGGCCACAATCATCATTGGGGTATCTAGTTTAAAAAATGTGTCCGGTGACCCGGCCAACCAACCAAGATGGCCGCCATGGCTAAAAATAGAACATAGGGGTAAAATGTAGATTTTGGCTTATATCTCTGAAACCAAAGCATTTAGAGCAAATCTGACATGGGGTAAAATTGTTTATCAGGTCAAGATCTATCTGCCCTGAAATTTTCAGATGAATCGGACAACCCGTTGTTGGGTTGCTGCCCCTGAATTGGTAATTTTAAGGAAATTTTGCCGTTTTTGGTTATTATCTTGAACATTATTATAGATAGAGATAAACTGTAAACAGCAATAATGTTCAGCAAAGTAAGATCTACAAATAAGTTAACTTGACCAAAATGGTCATTTGACCCCTTAAGGAGTTATTGCCCTTTATAGTCAATTTTTAACCATTTTTCGTAAATTTTTGTAATCTTTTACAAAAATCTTCTCCTCTGAAACTACTAAGACAAATTTAACCAAACTTGTCCACAATCATCATTAGGGTATCTCGTTTAAAAAATGTGTCCGATGACCCCGCCCGCGAACCAAGATGGCCGACATGGCAAAAAAATAGTACATAGGGTAAAATGCAGTTTTTGGCTCATATCTCTGAAACCAAAGCATTAAGAGCAAATCTGATGATGATAAAATTGTTCATTAGGTCAAGATCTATCTGCCCTGAAATTTTCAGACCAATCAGGCAACCCGTTGTTGGGTTGCTGCCCCTGAATTGGTAATTTTAAGAAAATTTTGCAGCTTTTGGTTATTATCTTGAATATTGTTATAGATAGAGATAAACTGTTAACAGCAATAATGTACAGCAAAGTTAGATCTACAAATAAGGCAACATGACCAAAATTGTCAATTGACCCCTTAAGGAGTTATTACCCTTTATAGTCAATTTTTTACAATTTTCATAAATTTTGTAAATTTTTGTAAATTTTTACAAAGTATTTTCCACTGTAACTACCGGGCCAAGTTCATTATAGATAGAGATAATAGTAAGGAGCAAGAATGTTCAGTAAAGTAAGATCTACAAACACATCACCATCACCAAAACACAATTTTGTCATGAATCCATCTGTGTCCTTTGTTTAATATGCACATAGACCAAGGTGAGCGACACAGGCTCTTTAGAGCCTCTAGTTTAAATTTTTGCTCATTTTTACTTTTTATTCTTATTAGGTTTTTTATATTTATCACTCAAATTATTTCAATTACCTTATGGTTAAAAACAAATTATTTAAATGCCCAAAAAGGCACAAGCCAGGGCTGACCGTGCGAGGGCTGTATAGCCAGTTAAGGTCGTTAAAAACTCCCATCATCATCAGATAATTAATCTTAATTTGATAGGACAATTTGTGTTTGTTAATATTCAAGAAAACAAGGCCTGTGACCCCTATTTTCATTTGAAATTTCGGAAGTATTTATAAAAAGCAATTCTCTCATTGAATTTTAATCAATTCTATCGTTTATTGTGTTCCTCAATAAGTAAAAATTAAGTTTCCTCTTATAAATAACCCATATAAAATTACTGTAATTTTGTTAATTTCAATGTATTTTAAGAGAAAAAACAAGGTCAGTGACCGACAGTTTTTATATTGATATTTGAAAGTACATTGACCCAGAATTCTTTTACAGAAGAAAAATCTATAGTCCAACATTTAGACACGCCAGCTACCTTAATTGTGATTTCAAGATAAAGCTATATTAAAATAGTTTTTCCCATTCCCCATAAATTTGTGATTTCTATGACCAAAATTTGTTTGAGGAGTTTTGTTGTGCTCCCGCAGTAGCGGTGGGGTCATTAAGTTTTACCCTTGTCCGTCTGTATATACATACATACGTACTTACGTCCATACGTCCCAAAATTGGTTTCTGTTCTCTAACTTAAGTTTGCCTCAACCAAATGTTATGAAACTTATACACAATGCTTATTACCACAAAATACAGATCAAGATTGAATTTTGGTAGCGTCACTCTAACCGTTCTAGAGTTATGCCCCTTCATAAATGGAAAAATTGCAAAATTTTTAGTTTCCATTCTCTAACTTAAGTTTGCCTCAACCAAATTTTATGAAACATATACACAGTGCTTATTACCACAAAATAAAGATCAAGTTTGAATTTTGGTGGGGTCACTTTAACCATTCTCGAGTTATGCTCCTTTATAAATGGAAAAATTGCAAAATTTTTAGTTTCCGTTCTCTAACTTAAGTTTGCCTCAACCAAATGTTATGAAACTTATACACAATACTTATTACCACAAAATACAGATCAAGATTGAATTTTGGTAGCGTCACTCTAACCGTTCTAGAGTTATGCCCCTTCATAAATGGAAAAATTGCAAAATTTTTAGTTTCCATTCTCTAACTTAAGTTTGCCTCAACCAAATTTTATGAAACATATACACAGTGCTTATTACCACAAAATAAAGATCAAGTTTGAATTTTGGTGGGGTCACTTTAACCCTTCTCGAGTTATGCTCCTTTATAAATGGAAAAATTGCAAAATTTTTAGTTTCCGTTCTCTAACTTAAGTTTGCCTCAACCAAATGTTATGAAACTTATACACAATGCTTATTACCACAAAATACAGATCAAGATTGAATTTTGGTAGCGTCACTCTAACCGTTCTAGAGTTATGCCCCTTCATAAATGGAAAAATTGCAAAATTTTTAGTTTCCATTCTCTAACTTAAGTTTGCCTCAACCAAATTTTATGAAACATATACACAGTGCTTATTACCACAAAATAAAGATCAAGTTTGAATTTTGGTGGGGTCACTTTAACCATTCTCGAGTTATGCTCCTTTATAAATTGAAAAAAATGCAAAATTTTTAGTTTCCGTTCTCTAACTTAAGTTGCCTCAACCAAATGTTATGAAACTTATACACAATGCTTTTTACCACAAAACGCAGATCAAATTGAATTTTGGAAGCGTCACTTTAATCATTATTGAGATATGCCCCTTTATAAATCCAAAAATTGCAAAATTTTTAGTTTCCGTTCTGTAACTTATTTTGCCCCAACCAAACATTATGAAACCTATACACAATACTTATTACCTTAAAACTCAAATCAAGTACAAATTTGGGTAGGGTCACTTTTATCGTTCTTGAGTTATGTCCCTTTATAATGTTGTATGCAAGCGGGGGCATCATCTGTGTCCATGGGGACACATTCTCCATTTATTTTTTATTAGTCCCCTACTGACGAAGTCGAAGGGGACTTTAGGTTTGCACTCCGTCCGTCCGTCCATCTGTCTGTCTGTCCGGCAAATCAGTTTTCCAGACTTTTTTCTTCATGCTTGAAGATATTGATTTGATATTTGGTTAATTGATTTATCATGACAAGTTACAGGTCAAGTTAAATTTTCAACAAGATTTTAGCTTTTCTCTTTGTTCAGTTAAAGCCCTTTCCCTAGAATTAAATTTTTGATGAAATACTTATTAATTAGTAGATTTCTGTTCAAAGGGAAATAACTCATTTTTTAAAAGACTTTTAAAAGACTAAATGATATTTTGGATTTTTTTCCTTTTCTTTGGTAAATTGTTTGAAGAATTTAGTGGTAGGTTTGTTTGTCATTCTTGAAGATATTGATTTGATAATTAGTATATAGTTTTATCATGACAAGTTACAGATCAATTTGGAATTTTGTTCCAGTCTGATAATTTTGTGCAGAGTTATGGTCTTTGGACATACAAAATTCACTTAAATAATCAGTTTTCAACAGTTTTTTTCGACATGCTTGAAGATTTTGACTTGATATTTTTATGTAGTTTACACATGACAAGTTATAGATCAAGTTAGAATTTCGTTCCACTACAATGAATTTGTAACCAGTAGGGGACTATGTATTGCCATGCAATACTCACAGAATGCTTGTTTTTTCTTGTCCGCATAATTCTGATCGTAAATAAAGATCAAAATTATGGTTAGGGAAATTTTCGCAATTTAATCTTGACCAAGAAACATGCATATTTAACCCTTAACAAAGATTCACTTGACAGTAACAAAATAAAATTCTTCAAATGTCCATGAGACACAGTTCTTCCAAGAACTTTACTGTAAACTAAATTATTAGTCCCCTACCGACGAAGTTGAAGGTTACTTTAGGTTTGCACTCCGTCTGTCTGTCTGTCCGTCTATCCGTCAGTCCGGCAAATCAGCTTTCCACACTTTTTTTCTTCCGTTCTTGAAGATATTGATTTGATAATTGGTATATAGTTTTATCATGAAATGTTATAGATCAAATTCGAATTTTGTTTCGGTCTGATGATTTAGTCCAGAGTTATGGACCATAACTCTGGACCATATCTAATGTTAGAGTACTATGTTAAACCATATTTCTGTACAAAGGGAGATAACTCATTTTTTAAAAGGCATTCTTTATTAAATTATTTGAAAAAAATTTTGGCAGGTTTGTTTGTTATTTAGTATAAACTAATTTTCTGAATGCTATAGATATAAAAAAAAAAATATGATAATAATCTATTTTTATTAATGTATATATTTCAATACATTACATTGTGTAGATAAAAGTTGTTGACATTTTATAGATAAGTTACAAATCTATATTAGTTTGTAACAAATGAAAGAAAAAATATTTGGAACTATTAATTATATTTGATTATAATTTGAAAATAGATATACACTGTATTACATCATATCTAATTTTAGAGAACTATTAATCATATCTAATGTTTTTTTCACTCATATAATCAGTTTTCCACACTGTTTTTAGTCATGCTAGAAGATATTGACATGATATTTACTTTTTGTTTACACCATGACAAGTTATAGAACAAGTTAGCATTTTCTTCCAGTAAAATGAATTTTTACCCGTTAGGGGACTATGTATTGCCATGCAATACTCTCAGAATGCTTGTTGATGTATATATTTCAATACATTACATTGTGTAGATAAAAGTTGTTGACATTTTATAGATAAGTTACAAATCTATATTAGTTTGTGACAAATGAAAGAAAAAATATTTGGAACTATTAAAATTGAGAATGGAAATGGGGAATGTGTCAAAGAGACAACAACCCAACCATAGAGCAGACAACAGCCGAAGGCCACCAATGGGTCTTCAATGCAGCGAGAAACTCCCGCACCCGGAGGCGTCCTTCAGCTGGCCCCTAAATATTGATTATATTTGATTATAATTTGAAAATAGATATACACTGACTGTATTGCATCGTATCTAATTTTAGAGAACTATTAATCATATCTGATGTTTTTTTCATCATGCTTATAAGATATTGATTGATAATTGGTATATATATAATTTTATCTAGACAAGTTACAGATCAAGTTCAAATTTTTGTTTCGGTCTAATAATTTTGTGCAGAGTTATGGTCCTTGGACTTGAAAAATTCACACATATAATCAGTTTTCCCCACTGTATTTAGTCATGCTTGAAGATATTGACATGATATTTACTTTTTGTTTACACCATGACAAGTTATAGAACAAGTTAGCATTTTGTTCCAGTATAATGAATTTTTACCCGGTAGGGGACTATGTATTGCCATGCAATACTCTCAGAATGCTTGTTCATTGTTGCTTTATTTCGCATTTTACCTGTTCTAGCCAACTGGCAATTTTAAAATTTTCTTGATGTATTTATATAAGGGTAGATCAAAGTTTTACCTATTAGCATCGATTTATATTTGCATTATATTCTACTTGCAAAAGTTGGTAATATTAGTTGGTTTAATGTTTTTTTGTATGCTACTCACAGAACTTCAGCTGAAGCCAGATCACAAGCCAGTGGAACAAATGGAGAACTGGAGGCATAAGATTCTGAGACAGCTGACAGAGGGTGATCCTACTAAGGAGGATCCTAAATTGAAATGGAGAAGAAATGCTAAAACAGGGATTATGGATGAACGAACTGTAAGTAAATGAAATTGGTATATGGTTCTAACAGAAGTATTTAAACTAATACACTGATTTATTTGAAAATTGGAGATTCCCACAAAAAGGATCTAAAACTGAAATGGATGAAAAGGTTAAGCTGTGATCGAGGAGTCGAGACAATGTACATTTTCATTTCATATCACAACACTGTTAAATCATGGAAATCTATATATAGCGTTGTTTGTCAGAATATTGTTCATGAATTATTAAAATCTCATTGAAAAAAATTGAAGATTCATGTATATGAATAAAAGAAAATTGTGTAAACATAAAAAAATTCAATGAAAAATATGGTCCTCAATGATATGTCAAAAAGAGGGAGGAGATACAAAGTTGCTATCAAAACCATAATTTGAAGAAAATCAGACAACACCATGGCCAAAGGTAAAAAAGACATAAAATACAAACAGTCTTAAAAAACAATACACATATACACTTAAAAACTAAAATTTGAGCATCAAAAACCTACGAAATACTTTGTATGGAAGTAGAAGCTACATTAGGGTCAACAGTTCCTGCTACAATGGTGACACCCTCTGTAAACTCATTAACATATCTTAACAAACAGTCCTGTTAAGATATGTTGATGAGTTAATGTCCAGTGGTTAGAGAATTGTAGACCTCTAAATCTCCTAGAACCTTCAGTGGTCATATGATAGAATTACTATAAGGGAGATAACTGGAGGTTAGGTAAGTGTAAATGTTTCATGAAAAGGATTTTACCTCCGAAAATTATAGAGTGCAGGATGCATTTGCTTGAATCTTAAATGCCAAAGTGTGCATACAAGCCTTTAGATATTGTTATTCTAGTACAAAAGCTGGAACTTTTCCTATAACATTTAGAATGTAAAAGTTCTGAAAATGCATGTAATATTTCCTGCTGGACATTAGTATCCATCAATAGCAATACTGGATTTAACCTACTACGATGATAATTTTATAATTTATTTATAGATTACACACCCTGCAGCCATCCATTTATTGTTCCATGAAGCATATAAAAACTACATCACTGCCCTCTATCCATGTAAGGACCAGGATGTCCTAAACTTTGCTGTGATAATTATTCTGATGAAACAAGATGGCGTCTACAATACTTCAAGTGCCAAAACATTTCTAAGGTAAAGAGATGGATAAAGACATGAAAATTGTTAATGATATTGCTAAATATTATATAGATCAGGATTTTTATAATGTTTTGTTGTTCCATGTAAATAATTTCTTTGAGAAAAAAAAGTTTTCCTACTGAGCATGGTATTTTCGTTAAATAATTTATCAGCTTCTGTATCAAGGAATTACATAATATTTGATCAGGAGCTTATAATATTGGGTTCTATTATGTAGGAAATTTCAGTTCTGCTATACTGCCACCTCCTGTTTGACCATACTTTTAATTTTGATTATAACCTCTGAGCATAGATTTTTCCGTAATGTCTAGTAATCAAGTGAGGATATACTTTGAAAGTCATCGCTTAAAACTCTTAGGTGTGCACAGAAATCTAATTAATTTGTTATTGATTTTGTACAAGACAACAGAAGTTTTTTATGATTTTTCTGTACATTTTCGTAAGATTATCATAATAATTTATGAAAATCTCTTTCAAAACTCAATAAGTATAGGTGAAAATTCTTAAAGATGACTAGCTGTGAATTAAAAACTTTAAAATTTTAAAACTGGTTTAATATTTCTGTTTTCAGTAAAAACTTGCAGTCAATGGTACCAGAACAAATGATGAAAGGAAAGAGTCATGCATGGTCCTCCAATGTATTCCGCCATTATAAGGATGTAGGGAAAAGCATGCTTGAAGGTCCTTCTCATGTGCAAGTGGATATGGTATGTTTTAATACTAGTTGTGAACCTTAAATCTAAAGCCCAATTGATCCTACTCAAGATAATGATAGAAATGTTATATCTGAATCATTTGATAACACCATCAATGAATTTCTAAGTAAATAATCTATGACATATTTGTTAATGAAATGTAAAAGCTGGCTATATCTGCATTTGGTTTCATTCCTACAAACATTTAGGGCCAAGATGTAGGATAAAGAGATTTTTCTTTACTTAGCCGATTTATCATTTTCCTGACCTGTTGATTATTTTTATTTAATCAAAGTGTGGTCAGTACGTCATTGGTCAAAATTCAATTTAATACTGTTGATTAAGAAATTATTGCGAGGTTTTATTATTGCGAATAATGCGACTGGATGAGGATATCAATAATAAGAACTCGCATTCTGATATCTGATACATATGTCTTTATGCAGATTATCTTGAAATTGCAATAATTAATCTCACATTTTTGTCCATTCTTCAAAAATCGCAATAATAAATGTACGCAATAATTTCTGAATTTACAGTATGACATCAAATTTTCTTGCTTGTGATTGTGATGCAGGAAAAAAGGCGACCATGTCTGATGACGTCACATAGAAAGAATACATATTTTTTTGGTGAATCATTGGAAAAAAAGGATTAAGTTTGTCTGCATATTGTCTAAAAATCATTAGAGAAACAGACTCCTCCACCAAATCTTGTGCAATACAATATTTCTCCACTCTAGACAGTTAAATTTTAAATTTCAAAATTCAACTGTCCAGAGTGGAGAAATATAGTATCTGACTTGATGCAGTGGTAGAATCTATATATATTTTACCATAGTTGCCTGTCCTAACAAAATGTGAACTACCAGAGGTTGAAATGGTTGTTTAAGGCTAGCAGCATTAATTTTGTTATTATACCCCCGCTTTTAAAAAGTGGGGGTATACTGTTTTACCTCTGTCTGTCCATCCATCCATCCATCCGTCCATCCATCCATCCATCCGTCCATCCATCAGTCTGTCAGTCTGTCAGTCCGTCCATCCGTCCCATGAACATTTTTCGTCACATCTTTCTCAAGAACTACAATACAAGGATTTCTGAAATTTGGTTTCAGGGTTTATATAAGTCAGCTATACCGTGTGATGCATTTTCAGATTGATCACTCAACAACTTCCTGTTTACCGAACACTTGCATCATTTTACACAACACATACAAGTTGAAAATTTTCGTCACATTTTTCTCAAGAACTACATTACAAGGATTTCTGAAATTTGGTTTCAGTGTTTATATAAGTCAGCTATACCGTGTGATGCATTTTCAGATTCATCACTCAACAACTTCCTGTTTACCGTCAAGTATTTGGGCTGGGGGTATCATCAGTGAGCAGTAGCTCGCAGTTTCACTTGTTCTGTCTAGTTTTTGTCTCGCCTTGACAGAGTCAAAAAGCAAGACATAGGTATGCTGTTTCCGGCGACGGCAGCGTCAACAATGTATTAGTTTGTGATTAGGTCTAGTTCATGGTGAATCACTAGTGGTAGGTCAATGATATTTGGTATGCAGTTGTATTAGCATTATCACATCTCATTACCATGGAGATTATTTGGCCCTGCCCCCTCAGTCAAGGTCTATTGACTTTTAAACTTTTCATAGTTAACATGTATTAGTTTGTGATTAAGTCAATTTATGGGGAACCACTAGTGGTAGGTCAATGATATTTGGTATGCAGTTGTATAAGCATGGGCATATCTCATTTCCATGGAAATTATTTGGCTCCGCCCCCTTAGTCATGGTCTATAGACTTTGAAAATTTTGCTAAGTTTACATGTATTAGTTTGTGATTAGGTCAGTTCAAGGGGAACCATTAGTGGTAGGCCAATGTTAATTGGTGTTCAGTTGTATAAGCATTAGCACATCTCATTTCCATGGAGAATATTTGGCCCCGCCCCCTCAGTCATGGTCTATTTACTTTGAAACTTTTGCTTAGTTTACATGTATAAGTTTGTGATTAGATCAGTTTAAGATGAACTGCTAATGTTAAGTCATTGATATTTGGTATGCAAATTTATTGACATTTGCAAGTATTGTTTCCATGGAGATTATATAGCCCAACCCCTGATCATGGTTCATTGACTTTGAATTTTTTACATAGTTTACAAGTTAATGTTTGTGTTTAGGTTTGTTTAAAGGGAACGACTTATAATAATAAGTCAATGGTATTTGGTATGCAGTTGTATTAGCATTGGCACATCTCATTCCATGGAGATTGTTTAGCCATGTACCTTCAGTCATGGTTCATCGACTTTGAATATTTGCATTACTTACATGTTAAAGTATTGCTATTTTAATTTCAACATTTGCATTATCAAAATTACAAAAAGGCGAGACATATCTCTGTGATAACAGTTTATATTTAAGTTCATTATTTTTGTTCCAGTGGAGTTATCTCCCATAGCCCATTATATCACTTGTTTGTATAGGTGAACCATGCATGTTTCTATAGGCTTCTCTGAAAATTATTGAACTTTTGTCCCCTTTATTGTGGCTGCAATCTTTGTTCTTTTGATAAAAAAAAACTTTTGGAATATGAAGATTTTTTTACTGTAGAGTTATCTCCCATTGAGTAGTAAATAATATTTGTACGTACATTAACATCCATTAAAGAAAATACAGAAAAATAAGTACAATTTTATCTTCCTAATAAGGCCATTCTCAAATTATGTCATCTTTCCAAGATTGTTCACGATTTCATTTTATTTTGCCCTAATTACAGAAGCCTATTCTAAGGTCAGATTTAAATTTTTATTCAACATTTTTTGGAATCACAATTTTAACATGTAAAATTTACCATTATGTAAGATAAGGATAATTTAGATTTTGTTCGTTTTTTTTCAGATTTTAAAACAGCAGTTTCTGAAGTTCTGCAGAAACCTGACTGTTTATGGATCTGCTTTCTTTACTGGTACACTACTGGTACCCCAGGTCAAGGTAAAAATAGACAAGTTTAATTTGTCGATATTGGTAGACTATGAGTTACATTTAAAAGTTTGTTAAATCCACAAAGAAGAGTTTATAGGCCTGTTTGTTTTTAAAATTGTAATTTGCTAAGATATCAAACAAATATCTTGATGTGCCTGTTGTTCTCTAACTGTTAGTATTTTTTCTGTTTTAAATCTCAAGTGGAATGTAAGCTTCAATAATACATAAATTTGAAAGAGCCTGCGCATAGTAATGAGAATTTCTCAGGGAGGAAGCAACCCTTTTTTTACAGCATTTTGATTGGTCATTTTAGGGTAGTATGTGCCATATTGGTGTCAACGATGTTGGTATCCATGTCATAAACTCTCAAACAAGGGTAAGTTACTTAAAAAATGTATAAATATTAAGCTTTTGAGATAAAAGTTGAAGGGAATAGTTTTATTATGAAAAAATCAACAAAAGTTGTGGCCTGATGACAGTGAGGACTTCTTGAGTGCTGGATGATGCTCGGACAAACCAATGATTTTAAATTGGCATCTGCTGCAGTTTTATTTAAACACTTAGCATTTAGTAATAAGACCATGAACTCATCAAAGATTCTAGACTTTAAATTTGGTGGACCAGACTCCAGATGCATATTTTCTCTACATAAGGGTGTACTTTGGTGAAATTTAAAAAATCTAGAATTTAAAATTGCTACTTTAAGTCAGAAGAGCATTAGTTAAGGAACAAAATAAGCTTAGAATATTGATAGGTTATGGAGCTCCTTTTCGAGATATTTATTTTTTTAAAAATGGCAGGAAAAGGCTGACTCGGACTTTTACCTTATATTTGCATTGGTATTATTTGGGTCTCAAATCGAAAGAAAAGAAATCTAGAATCTGCTTAAATTTTAGTAAATGATCTCTTAAGAGCTATTGAAGTCTTATATGAAAAGAAAAATGGGTGTTATGGGGCAAAATATTTTACCCTGTATCGTAGGAAAAAAATCAAGGAGTCCGAACAATTGACAAAAATTCCTAAACCTCACCTAAGTACATCCATTAGACTGATTAGTGGCACTCAAATCAAAACAGCCGGAAGGCCAAATCAAAGAATAGTTTTAAAAGCAATAAAAACCGAAAAATTAAGAAATCTTGTGCCAAATCCTGCTAAGGCAATATATGTCTGTGGGGTAGAAAAACAAAAACTACTTTGCTTATAGTTCAAAAATGTATCTGGGTAGGATGGCATGGTTTGCTGCTCAGTACAAGGCAGGGTATATTCATATAACAATAACTTTTTACTGAAATGAATATTCATGTAATATTTGCCACTTGCCATTCTACAATCATCATTCTATCAATCTTAAGCTGGTACTTCTCATTTTCATGGGGATTATTCGGTAGAAACATATCTCTGTGTCAACATTTTATTATTAGAATGTTTTTAATGAAAGAATAATAAAAAGTGGTTTAAAATTGTTAAATTAAGTACTTAAAAAGTTCTGCTAAATCAGTGAAAGTTATATTGATTGTTGTGGTAACTATTTTCATGGGTTCTGTGGTACCCTCCCATCTCAAAATTAATCACACAGTAAATACATATTTTCCATAGCATTTAGATGTGTTAATCTAAAAACTATGAAATAAAAATCCTACCACTCAAGGATATGTTCACAAGCCACTAAACTTGATACCAGCGAAATAAGCACTTCCACAGTATTGCTGAATAATAATTTGTCTTCTTTTTTTATTATTACCACAGCAGCTGTCGCAAAACAGCTAGCCCTCCTTATCAATGTTTTCTGTATCTGTTTTCAGGTAATGTTACATAGTTTCAAATATTCTGAAATCAGCTGCAAACTTCCAGAAGCCAATAGGTTGGAAGTAAATGTGATACGATTTGAAAGTCGAACAGACCGAAATATTCCACGACAATTAACAATACGGACTAAACAGGCTGGGTTAATTGAGAGACTAATTGAAAAATTATCAGAAATTCATGCTATCAAGGACAGACAAGTTGAAATTCGATATGGTGGGATGAATTCATAGCACAGGATGCTGTAGGAATTGATATTTATAGAAATGGAAGGCTGATAACATATTTGTACATAGCATAGGTGGCAGTGCTTACTGGATATAGTTTTTGCTCAATGGTCATCAAAACAAAGAAATCACAATTTTTTTATTCATGTACCATGATCTCCAGATCTGACAAATAATATCTACCCACTCTGTTTAAATGATATCTGACTTTTTTAACTGCTCATCCACATCTTTTTACTGTAAATTTGGAAATTATTGTGAGATTTTTATTAATGTGAATAATGCAACTGGGTGAGTATCGCAATAATAAGAACTCACATTCTAATATCTGATACATATATCTATATGCAGATTTTCCTGAAATAGCAATGATTAATTTGGCTTTTTTGTCCATTCTTCAAAAATTGAAGTAAGTAATGCACACAATAATTTATGAGTTTACAGTATAAAACAAATCATCACTTTTCCTCAGAAAAATTACTGCTGTTCAGCTTATTTTTCCATGCTTCTGAAATTTTTATGAAAAACTTGATTTTTGCCTCGCCTTGATGGAGTCAAAAAGCGAGACATAGGTATGCTGTTTCCAGCGGCGGCAGTGGCGTCAACAATGCATTAGTTTGTGATTAGGTCTAGTTTAAGGTGAACCACTAGTGGTTGGTCAATGATATTTGGTATGCAGTTGTATTAGCACTGGCACATCTCATTTCCATGGAGACTATTTGGCCCTGCACCCTCAGTCATGGTCTATTGACTTTGAAACTTTTGCTTAGTTTACATGTATTAGTTTGTGATTAGGTCAGTTTATGGGGAACCACTAGTGGTAAGTCCTTGATATTTGGTATGCAGTTGTATAAGCATTGGCATATCTTATTTCCATGGAGACTATTTGGCTCCGACCCCCTCAGTCATGGTCTATTGACTTTAAAACTTTTGCTTAGTTTACATGTATTAGTTTGTGATTAGGTCAGTTCAAGGGGAACCACTATTGGTAGGTCAATGATATTTGGTATGCAGTTGTATAAGTATTGGCATATCTCATTTCCACGGTGAATATTTGGTCCCGCCCCCTCAGTCATGGTCTATAGACTTTGAAACTTTTGATTAGTTTACATGTATTAGTTTGTGATTAGATCAGTTTAAGATGAACCGCTAATGTTAAGTCAATGATATTTGGTATGCAAATTTATTGGCATTTGCAAGTCTCGTTTCCATGGAGATATAGCCCCACTCCCTCATGGTTCATTGACTTTGAAACTTTTACATAGTTTACAAGTCAATGTTTGTGTTTAGGTTTGTTGAAAGGGAACGACTTATGATAAGTCTATGGTATTTGGTATGCAGTTGTATTAGCATTGGCACATCTAATTTCCATGGAGATTGTTTTGCCATGTACCTTCAGTCATGGTTCATTGACTTTGAATATTTGCATAACTTACATGTTAAAATATTGCTATTTTAATTTCAACATTTGCATTATCAAAAGTACAAAAAGGCGAGACATATCTTTGTGTTAACAGTTTATTTACACTTAAAACTTATTTTCTTTTCATAAAATTTGATAAACAAACTCTTTATTTTGTTTGGCCTTTCATTAATGTGTAGTGCCTTCAGGAATTTATTAGTGGAAGGAAGATTTTAAAAGTCAATGTTTCTGAAATTTTTGTGAAAAATTTGATTTTTTATTGCTTAAAACTTATTTTCTTTTCAAAAAGGTTTGATGAACGAAATGTTTAATTTGTTTGGCCTTTCATTAATGTGTAGTGCCTTCAGGGATTTTTTAGTGGAAGCTAGATTTTAAAAGGTATTCATATTTGCTTATTTTTAGAATATCCTTTTTAAAATGAAGAAACAGTCTTTATAACATGCATTTGTACTGCTAAATTAGTTCAGAAAGTTACATATTTGTTACTTTAAACCATTGTATTAAAGGTTTTCCATTTAAAAGGATGGATCCAAAATGCCCCCCAACCAACATATTTTCTGAAGTAACAAATTCTTTCCTCAGATTGTCTCAACATGTCTTGAATTTATTAAATTAACATTAAATAATGTTACCAAAAGGCATTTATTTAAGAATTCTTATGACTATGAGACAAATGGAGATTAACAAAATGTTTTTTTTTTTTTATGAATATACTGCAACTTTGACAAGATTTTTTATTCACAATCTATAGATATACTTTTTTAGCTCACCTGGCCCGAAGGGCCAAGTGAGCTTTTCTCATCACTTGGCGTCCGTCGTCCGTCGTCCGGCGTCGTCCGGCGTCGTCCGTCGTCGGCGTAAACTTTTTACATTTTGAACTTCTTCTAGAGAACCACTGAATGGAATGAAACCAAACATGGCATGAATGTTCCTTATGAGGTGCTGACCAAGTGTTGTTACTTTGTAGCCGATCCATCATCCAATTTGCCGCCAGCGGGGGACTTAGTTTAACATAGGAGCCTATGGGAAATGCATACAAATGACTTCTTTTAGAGAACCACTGAATGGAATGAAACCAAACATGGCATGAATGTTTCTTATGAGGTGCTGACCGAGTGTTGTTACTTTGAAGCCGATCCATAATCCAAGATGGCAGCCAGCGGGGGACTTAGTTTAACATAGGACCCTATGGGAAATGCATACAAATGTCTTCTTTTAGAGAACCACTGAATGGAATGAAACAAAACATAGCATGAATGTTCATTAGGAGGTGCTGACCAAGTGTTGTTACTTTGTAGTTGATCCATCATCCAAGATGGCTGCCAGCAGGGGACTTAGTTTAACATAGGACCCTATGGGAAATGCATACAAATGACTTCTTTTAGAGAACCACTGAATGGAATGAAACAAAACATAGCATGAATGTTCCTGACAAGGTGCTGACCAAGTGTTGTTACTTTGTAGCCATTCCATCATCCAAAATGGCCGCCAGCGAGGGACATAGTTTAACATAGGACCCTGTGGGAAAGGCATACAAATGACTTCTTTTAGAGAACCACTGAATGGAATGAAACAAAACATAGCATGAATGTTCATTAGGAGGTGCTGACCAAGTGTTGTTACTTTGTAGCCGATCCATCATCCAAGATGGCCGCCAGCGGGGGACTTAGTTTAACATAGGACCCTATGGGAAATGCATACAAATGACTTCTTTTAGAGAACCACTGAATGGAATGAAACAAAACATAGCATGAATGTTACTTACAAGGTGCTGACCAAGTGTTGTTACTTTGTAGCCGTTCCATCATCCAAAATGGCCGCCAGTGAGGGACTTAGTTTAACATAGGACCCTATGAGAAATACATACAAATGTCTTCTTTTAGAGAACCACTGAATGGAATGAAACCAAACATGGCAAGAATGTTCCTTATGAGGTGCTGACCAAGTGTTGTTACTTTGAAGCCGATCCATCATCCAAGATGGCAACCAGCGGGGGACTTAGTTTAACATAGGATCCTATGGGAAATACATACAAATGTTTTCTTTTAGAGAACCACTGAATGCAATGAAACCAAACATGGCATGAATGTTCCTTATGAGGTGCTGACCGAGTGTTGTTACTTTGAAGCCGATCCATAATCCAAGATGGCCGCCAGCGGGGGACTTAGTTTAACATGGGACCCTATGGGAAATACATACAAACGTCTTCTTTTAGAGAACCATTGAATGGAATGAAACCAAACATGGCAAGAATGTTCCTTATGAGGTGCTGACCAAGTGTTGTTACTTTGAAGCCGATCCATCATCCAAGATGGCAGCCAGCGGGGGACTTAGTTTAACATAGGATCCTATGGGAAATACATACAAATGTTTTCTTTTAGAGAACCACTGAATGGAATGAAACCAAACATGGCATGAATGTTCCTTATGAGGTGCTGACCAAGTGTTGTTACTATGAAGCCGATCCATAATCTAAGATGGCCGCCAGCGGAGGACTTAGTTTAACATAGGACCCTATGAGAAATACGTACAAATGTTTTCTTTTAGAGAACCATTGAATGGAATGAAACCAAACATGGCATGCATGTTCCTTTCGAGGTGCTGACCAAGTGTTGTTACTTTGAAGCTGATCCTTCATCTATGATGGCTGCCAGATGGGGACAATGTTTAACAAAGGACCCTATGGACAATACATACAAATGTCTTCTTTTAGAGAACCACATACTGAATGGATTGAACCAAACATGGCATGAATGTTCCTTATGAGGTGCTGACTAATTTTTGTTACTTTGAAGCTGATCCTTCATCCATGATGGCCGCCAATGGGGGGACTTCCTTTAACATAAGACCCTATGGGAAATACATACAAATGCTTCTTCTAGAGGTGCACTGAATGGAATGAAACCAAAACATGGCATAAATGTTTCTTATGAGGTGCTGATTAAGTGTTGCTACTTTGTTGCTGATTTACTGTTCAAGATGGCCACCAGGATTTTTTATTAAATTACAGGACCAATATTAAACCAAATTTGGCCTCACTCATTATTAGGGTATCTGTTATGATTTTAATCTATTTTTACATGATTTCCAAAACCAAAGTAGAATCAGGTGAGCGACACAGGCTCTTGAGAGCCTCTAGTTACATTTAAGGCTGCCTCTGTGTTCAAAACTAGTCATCAGATTTATTGGAATAAACTTATTATTTTTGATATTCATTGCTAACAATAGGCTTATTTATTTTTTATCTCAGATTTGAAAAAAAAAATGTATATGTCTTTCTGTTTGTGTTTTTGTTTTTTTGTTTTGATCTTTTTTGTAATTTTCATCACACTATCTTATTGTTGAATTTTATTTGTAAATAAGTAATTTCTCTTTAAACTACATTTTAGTATATTGAAAGACCTTTTGTCTGATTTTTAAAACTGCTTTTTGTTAAAATATTTGAAATAACTCTTGCCTTAATATAGACTTTTTGCGATGATGGGCCGTAAAGCAAACATCGATCAATTAATCATTAAAAATTTTACGCTCGCATCTGTTTAGTACAAAGCATTGTGTATTTGTACCTCAGAATGATGCTTTCATCCTGAATAATTA